CAAGACATTCTAGGAAGTGAATTCTCACCTTCACAAAACTCTCCTCACAGATTGTAGGTGCACCATTTGCTCTAACAGCAATTTATCTGACACTAACTGAATGTCCTACTGTTCAGTTCAGTTCAGACACTAACTACCTGGAGTTAGTGTAGACCCTGCAAGTTAATGGCCCAATACTGCAAGACTGCCTCCCATTTCAGACTAGAGCTGCAAGTTTCCAGTATCCCCAACTTACTGCATTTCTGCCCAACAGACTACAAGTGTGGGTTCTCCTATGACCTCCCCTCAAATTCAGTAATTCACTAGAATGAACTCACAGAACCCAGGAAAGCACTGTACTTACTATTACTTTCAACGGAAGGAATTACAACAAATTTATTTTTAAGTTCTCTTTAGAGACAGGATCTCCCTCTGTCGCCCAGGCTAGAGTTCAGTGTACAATCATAGTTCACTGAAGCCTCAGACTCCCTGAGCTCAAGCGATCTTCCTGCCTCAATAGCTCCCAAGTAGCCGAGTCCGCAAGCACGTATCATCACACCTGGTTAATTTTTCCTATTTTTCACAGAGACAGGGCCTTGCTATGCTGCTGAGGCTGGCCTTGAACTCCTGGTGTTATACGTAAATTTTCAGTGCCACAAAAGTAGTAGTACTCAAATATAAATTTCCTCAGCAAGGCAATTTACTTCTATAGAAGGGTGTGTCTCACATATGGAGCACTAGTGAGCACACACCTGAACAAGGGAGGGAAAGGGTTCTTATTCCTGATACAGGTAGCCCCTACTGCTGTATCATTCCCCTATTGGCTAGGTTAGACTGCACAGTCTAAGCTAATTCCGATCAGCTGTTTTAAAGAGAGAGGAATACAAGCTGTAGTGGTGGGGTGGATAGTTTAGTGGGAAAGATGGTTATGGAACAGGTCAGAGCAGGTAGCCAGGAGTGACTCTGGTCAAAACAGGTGACCAGGGGAACAGGTGTGAACTACTGATTAGAACTGGCTGGAAAATTATTTACCGAAACTAGAGGCAAGGTGACAAAGAGAACCAGGAAGTTAAACTTAAAAATGGGGAATTAAAGAATAAGAGAGCTGAACATACTGACATACTGATTCTTTGAAGAGAAACTTGGAGTTCTGGAGTGATGCTCCTGCCTTGACCTCCCAAAGTGCTGGGATTACAGGCATGAGCCACTGTGCCTGACCCAAATTTAGTTTAAAGATCTCAATTAGCTTTATTCATGATTCTAGAATTGGCAACACATCATTCCATAAAATAGAATAAGTGTTCCCATGAGCTGAGTAGAAGGGATTGGCTTTATAGACAGAGAAGGGAAGAAGAAGGCAGGAGGAAGGAACAGGAGCCTGCTCTTCGTTTCAAAGATACTTTTCTTGGGGGCAGGGCAGAGGGAGGGTCAGGGAGACAGAACAATAGAAAAATGTCAGATTAGTTAACATCGTATGTAAGGATTAAAGCCGAGGGAACTTCATTTCATGGCTACTGAAGATGTCAACTGGCCTGTTTTGAAAATTGGCTGTAATCTCTTGTGACTTCTCAGAAGGTCATAACCACTTAGTTTGGGTTTGGTGAAGGGAACTTAAGGATAGGGGGCTGTTTTTATTTTCAGTCTCGTCTCTTGGAGCCCTAATGCAGGAGCTTAGTCCCACACAAAGGCCTCCTTACAATATTACTTTGACATACAGTTCTGTTGTTATGGACACAACTCAGGAGTAGCTAAATGGAAGAGACAGCAAGGGCCAGGGGCAGGGGTGGGACAAGACTTTCCAGCTTCTCCAGGGTACCAGTGTGCTCAGCAGCCTGGGCCCTCTCAAGCCTTGTGCTCAAGAGTTGGTATTGAGGCTTCATTACTTAGTCATTATTGATTAAATCTCCAGCCCCAGAGGCTGGGGTTGGGCTGAAAGGTTTGATCCTCTAACCATGTGGTGGATTCCTCCAGCAACCAGGCTCATTCTGAAGAGGCCACAGGATGGTCTAGGGCCACACCCTATCAATCTCAGGCATGGTTGAAGGGGCTCTTCAAGAATACCAGAAGACAGTCCTGTCATGCAGGAAACTCCGAGGGTTTGGAGAGAATTGTGCCAGGAGCCAGGGCAAAAACCGAATATGTATTCTTTATTATGCCACAGTAATAGGAATGTATTTTGGCAGACTCAAGCGTGGTTGGTCCTTCTAATCTCAGTTCACATTAGAGGGATTTTCTCTGGCCCTCCAGCTTCTTCCTGTAAGCACCTGTTCTTTAGGTGGTTGGAGTAGGGCTCTGCCCCCATCCACCCCAACTCCAGTGCATCTGACAGTTTGAAATATTTTGAGCCCCACGTGTGTCTGTCAAGATGGAAAGAACAGCCTCTGAAGTGTGGTGTCAGTGGGTGCTTGTGCCAGTGGGGCCTGGCAGGAGTGAAGTGGACAGAGTCACGGGGTTGGGTTAAGCCCTGCCTCACCTCTCATTAGGGGTGTCACTTCAGCAGGCAGATGATTTAATGAGGCTACAATGCAGACTGTGAAGGAATTAGCCTCTTAGCCATGGTTGCTCTCAGGATGGAGATGTTGGGCTGTGGCACATGATAACTCTTCTCATGTAAGCCTGGTGAATCTATGCTGCACCTGCTTGTCCTGCAATCGGACTGATCAGAGGGTCTGAGGAAGCGCTTCACCTGTGAATGTGATTTCCTCTCACCTGCGGGCCCCGAGTCATCCTTGCTTGCCAGGTGCTCCCCACCCCACCCCCAGTAGGGTAGCAGGTGACATCTCCTCCTGGACCCCATTCTGGGCAGACATGAGCCCCACCCTTTATCTGTGCTTTGATAAAGACTTTGGGAAGAGGCTGGGTGCAGTGGCACACTCCTGTAAAAGTAATCCCAGCACTTTGGGAGGCTGAGGCATGTGGATTACTTGAGGCCAGAAGTTCAAAACCAGCCTGGGCAACGTGGCAGAACCCCATCTTTACCAAAAAATACAAAAATTAGTCTGGCATGATGGTGTGCACCTGTAATCCCAGCTACTCAGGAAGCTTTGGCATGAGAATTGCTTGAACCTGGGAGGCAGAGGTTGCAGTGAGTCAGGATTGCACCACTGCACTCCAGCCTGGGCGATAGAACAAGACACTGTCTCAAAAAAAAAACTTCAGGAGGAAGTAAAAAACAGGATACCATGCCAAACTGCACAGAGAAAAGCGGCTTTCTGGAATCTTTCAAATATCAAAGTTCTGCTGCCAGAAAAACTCAAGTGTAATCCCTGTGACAGGTCTGGGGCTTGTCTGTTGCAAACAATGGAGAGTGAATGTCGGGGTATACTTTCCCCTGCAGTTTGGAAGCACAGGTTCCCCCTGACTGGGCTTCAGGGGCGTATTTCCTTTGACTGAGAGGCTGGGACCATCACCTTTAACATGGTTAATGGTTAGACACTTTTCCAACTAGGACTGAAGGGTCCTCCCTGCATATGATTTGAGTCCCATAGGAATCTGAATGCCAAGGTAAAATTTCCTGGGTAACTTTAAACCTCTTGAAGCCATTTACAGGCTCTGAGGAGGATGGAGGAAGGGTCAGGGGGGGTGGACGCTGTCTCATCACTCCCTGTCCCTGTTTTGATTTTGTATCTACCACCTTCTCTTTTCCATTAGCCATCCTGGTCGAGGATTATATTACCTCTCACCTTCAGCATTAGAGGAGCTTCCAGATTCTTCTCCTCACTTCTGTCCATTGTGTGCACTATTTTTTCTTAGACTGTGGAGCTGACCCTGTCACTTACTGTCCTTCAGTGGCCTCTGGATATAGTCAGACATGGTGTGCCTCCCTCTCTCAGCTCCAACCACCCTGACATTCTCTCCATTTGGGTCGCATGCCATTCATTTGCAAATCCACCATAACACCTCCAGCAGTGCTGGGTGCAGAACCAACTTTTAATAATCTCCTGGAATGAGTGTACTCTCCTGTCTCTGGGCCTGCGTTTGCCTAGGTGACCATCTCTGGGTGTATTCCTGGGGCCCATTGAACAGGACATATCACTTTCTGTCCCTCTGCTCCTGAAGCAGTTTATGTTGCAGTGTTGTGGATTAGAGTACCCCTGGATGAGCGTTGTTTGTCTGTGCGCTGAAGGACAGGTGCCTGAAGGCAGGACCTGTGTTTCCCCTGGCCCCTGGAGGAGGAACTGGCATGCAGCAGCTGCTGAAGAATAGGAATTGCATCTTTTTTACCTTTGGATCCACCACAGCATCTTCACATTGAAAAGAGGTCACTAGACTTTTTTTTTAGGGTGTTATGGCAGTAGACCCCTTGCAAGTACTAGCCAGGCCTGACCCTGCTTAGCTTCTAAGATCAGACGAAATCGGGTGCGTTCAGGGTGAGTTTTTTTTTTTTTTTTAGATTGTTCATTTAAATAGAGTTAATGGCCTAAAACCTTTGCAAGAACATCCTCTTACAGGCGGAAGTCCAGGTACGCCATCCTGTGTTGTAGCCATACTGGCTATAATCATGCTCGTTTCCAAACTGTCACAGCACATTGCATATTTTCTCTGATTTGTGAAAGATAATCTATAAAAAGTTTCACAAAACATGTGTGCACAAACACACTAACAGTGGTGTTGGCGTTTTAAAATATCAAGTCATGTAATGGGGAAAAAAGTTGAAATCAGCTGTAGCTCTGAAAGCTGAAATGTGTACTGCCATATTCATCGTGGTTTTCCCTGCTGTTCTGGAATTCTTCTGTGGGAGCACGAACACTATTTTGTATATGCATATCTTCTCTACATGGTTGCCAGAGACTGGGTTTAAAACTGTTCCCAGAACAGTTTTGATTTCCGTTTAACTGGTTTGAGTCCATTACTTTAAAAAGTCTCACTCATACTAGGTGTCCATTCTTGCTGAATGATTGGGTTATTATTCTACAAGAAGATAAAGGCGCTATGTGCCACACAAGCTGTTTGATCTTTTGGGTGATTTGCATTTTACAAACAAGCATTCATTTCCCGTCCGTATTTGACTTCTTTTCCAGGGAGGTTCCCCTGAAGGATGCTAAGGAATATGCTGAATCCATAGGTGCCATCGTGGTTGAGACAAGTGCAAAAAATGCTATTAATATTGAAGAGCTCTTTCAAGGAATCAGTAAGTACCTGAAATTGGGTTTTCAGCCGCACTTGCATTTTTATGCTTCTGGGAACCAAAGGGTAACATTTTAGAGCTCTGAAGTAGCACTTTTCCTCTGTGTGAGTTTATCAGATGCCATGGGTATAAAATCTACAGCTATGCAGTTGTTAATAGCCATTTCTATTACCCTCTTGATTCTAGATTTCCATTATTCTGTACGCGAACCTGTTCACTCTGAGTTCTGTAAATTAAAATGAAGTAATCCTGTTGCAAAAGTAAAATTTATTTTAATTGAAAATTATGCATTCTGTAGCACTTTATGTTAGTATACTGAGAGGAGGAGAGGTAAAATAGACAAGGTGTAGAACTCAAAAAAATCACCCATGAGACGGGATGACTCTAGGCAAACTGAATGAGGGAAACTTTCAGCAATTTTTTTGCCGGATAATCTCCTACAAAAAGTAATGTCTCCATCCTGTGTGACCCGAAATTGGGAACTGGGTGCAGGGTTGGTGTGTACAGGTACCCCTTGTGTCTGATGAGCTAATTAGGGAGGGTGAGAGCCTCCTTCCTGGTTCCCGTGCTGGGACCTGTTGTGCTGACTGTATGCCAGCTCCCCAGGAATAGTCTTATCAACCAGCGCTGCTTCCCAGCTAATGGCCCTGCCAGCACTTCTATCCGCAGCTGTGAGGCCTCCAGCCCAACAGATTTAACCTTCGTAAGTTCCCTGGTTGTGTCATTCTGTTCCGGATTCTGCCAGAGAAGTCCCTGCTGACAGCTGTCTGGGAAAACTGCTGAGTCGCCCTCAGGAAAATTCGATCATAGCATTATCAGGGACTTTGGGAGAAGTACAGGTGTTTGTGAAGTGCTGGCCCTGAAGTTCCTGGAATATCCACCTTAGGAGGAGTTGAGCCTCAAAAGAGCAATTGTCCTCAAATATCTTAGCTCCCGACAACTCCAGAAGGGAAACTGACGGTTTGATCTCCCTCCTGCCTGAGGTCGCTTTGGCAGAGCTCTCAAAGTTAGCGAAGCCCTGGCTTCCCAGAACAGGTTTGATTTCCATTTAACTGGTTTGAGTCCATTACTTTAGACTCCAAGAACCCACAGGGGGGAATCTTTTGTTTATGTTGGCTTGATGGAGAATTCACTAGAGATGCGGAATGCTGACCTGCCCTACCTCCACTATGCAGAGATATGCAAAAGAAATGTGCAAAAGAATGGCTCGGAGCCTGATCTCCCCAGCCACTGGTCCTTTCCTTCACTGGGATCCCCACCCGCTTCCCTTCTTTCCACCCTCAGGGTTTTGTTTCCTGTTAGGATTTCATACTTTCAACAGAATAGTTTCAGGCTCCTTGCTCTGAGTGGCAGGCTGGGCTGGAATTTTATGTGGGAAACCCATATCCCACATTCCTTCTCCAACATGGGCAGTGGGTGTAGATGCTCTCGGGAGTTGTGTCATTCTGGGTGACATCTAAGTTTGGGCTCAAACTCATTACATTAGCCTCACATTTCTTCAGATTAAACTCATTCTCTTCTCGTAGTGTTAGGCTCTTCTGCTATGTTCCACGAAACATTTTATTTTTACAGGTGGTTATACGAACGAAGCTAGATAGCTCCTGAGGACGATTGCCTTAGCACCTCTGTCCTTACAGCCCCGAGTATTCTGCAGAGCCCCCGCCTCCTTTTTAGCTCCCTGGGCTTGGAAGGCCCCCAGCACAGACAGCAGTGGTCAGCCAGGGGAGCCTAGCAACTTGTATTGCCTGAACTTCAGGTTGAGGTCTGTGCATGAGCTGGGAGACCTTCTGAGGTTTATGAAAGTCATTATTAAAATAAAAAATCAAATAAGGACCTCAAGGAGAAGAAGCCTAAGTAGGAAGTACTGTACTAATATCTTTTTTTTTTTTTTTTTTTTTTGAGACAGGGTCTTTCTCTTTTGCTCAGGCTGGAGTACAGTGAAGCAATCATAGCTCACTGCAGCCTCCACCTCCTGGGCTCAAGAAATTCTCCCACCTCAGCCTTCTGAGTAGCGGGGACTACAGGTGTGCACCACCACACCTAGTCGGATTTTTTTATTTTTAATAGAATCAAGATCTTGCCATGTTGCCTAGGCTGGTCTCAAACTCCTGTGAGCTCAAGCCATTTTCCTCCATCGGCCTCCCAAAGTACCAGGATTACAGGTGTGAGCCACCACACCTGGCTTGTAGTAATATCTTAACTTAAAAGACATTTATCAAGCATAAATCTCTTTCCTTGTGTGACAGGGATTTTGAACAAATTAATTCCTCAGATCCTGGTGGTCTTCATGAAAAAGCCGGTGTTTTTCTTAAAGCATGGGCAATTATGGTTTCAAAGTAATTAATTCCTGTATAAGCCATCAAATACCCATATCACCTCATCTTCCATGTCACATAAAAATTGTTTGTTTCTGTTTCATTATGTTTTGGCTATAATTGCCTTAACAGGGAAAGCTTGTACATACACAGCCATGAAAAAATCTCAGTCTGTCTGTCTGCCTGTCCATCTGCCTGTCTGTCTATCCATCTGTCCATGGATCCGTCTATCTGTCCATTTGTCTATGTGTCTATCTGTCCATCTGTCTGTCTCTGTCTATCTGTCCTTCTGTCCATCTGTGTATATATCCATCTCTCCAGCTGTCAATCTGTCTGTCTATCCGTCTGTCTATCTATCAATCATCTATCTAGTCATCTGTCCATCTGCCTGTTATTAACCTGTCTGTCCATCCATCTGTCTGTCCATCTGTCTGTCTGTCTGTCTGTCTGCACTCGTAAGCACTGGTGCCTACCTTTTGCCTCTTTTCTCCTTCAGGTGAATTTCTTCAGAATGGGGTTCTGTAGCCTAACTGTAGCTTAATTTAAAACACGATTCCAAGTACACCTAAGTATATTGCAGCAGACTTTTCATTTATTTTTCTTTTCCCTGTTCCTACTTATATTACATATGCTCCTCCCTGAGCTTAAAATAGAACTACATATTGCTGACACCTAGGCTCCCCAAAGCAATGTTCCACAGTCGACTACGCCTGGAGAAAAGATGCAATAAAAAGTTAGGGAGCTGTGAAAATAAAAGCCCTTTAAAAAGGTGTGCTTAAACAAAATTAATTCACATTGACTCGGATGAAGAGGTAAATGTTTCTCTTTTACATTCCCATAGTGTTCATAACCCAGACATGACACAACTGTGTTTTCTGAACATGAGCTAATACAGTGTCTAACTGGGGATTGCTTACCAAAATATTTTGCCTTTTTAAAGACTGAAGCTACCCCGTAAAGGATTTAGGTGCTGCTCCGTTTGGGGTGGTCCGCAGCGTTTGTCCTCCTCATGTAATATATTGTCCCGTGATTGGTATTCCTCCAGGTGGCCTTTTATAAATCACATTTTTAGACCTACTTTATACCCCTGCATGTGACTAATTTTCTTCCATGGATTACTTTTCTTCTTTGGGTTCTTATGCCCAAGGAGGAAAAGTAAGAACTTGAGGTTACTTTTGGTTTATTCTGTCATTTTGACACTCAAACATATTCTATCTTTAAATGATTCTCCAAGCGTTCAGGTATGTGTCTGTTCCTCTAGGGAGACTGCACATTCTTTGGGAGCTTGTCTTTTGTATTCCCCATAAAGCTGAGACTAGTGAATGGAACGGTGCTAAATTCAGGGTTCTGAATTTGGATCCCCATCCTCATCTCCTGATATAAGGTGAAATGTAATCACTTTTCTCTGGGAATTTAAGGTTGAAGAACAGCAAATTGGACAAGCCTACTTACTCTTGATTTATTTATTCACAGATGTATACTGTGCTCTTTTAAGGGTAGGTGCCACGCTAGACTCTGGGGACAGCACAGTGACAGTGGAGAGGGGGAGACAGCTGTGGGCACAGTCAGATCGGTGTCTGATGACTCTTGGTAATCAGTGCTGCACAGCGAAGGAGCGGACTGTGAGAGGTTACTATGGGGCGAGGGAGTGGCTTTAGATTGGGTGGGGAAGGCCTCCTCAAGGAAATGATTTTAAGCTGGACCTGAAAAACGACAAAAGGCCAGTGGGCGAAGAGCTTAAGAAGAGCTATCAGGCAGAAAAAAAAATCGCAGGAGCGAAGTCCCCAAGGCAGGAAATGGTCGTGGTGCTTTTAAGGAAGAGCAAGGACTATGGTGGGAAGTTGAGGTTAGAGACTCAGCAGGGCCTTGTCATGGGGATAAAGCTGATATCTGAAACAATCGGAAGCCCCTCAAGCTTTTAAGGCAGGTGTGCAGAGTGTCCAATTTACATTTACAAAAAAGATCACACTTAAAAGGAGGAACATCTCTGCATGGCTCAATAAATTGGCATGCAATTGCAGTAATCCAGGAGAGAAGTGGCTTGGATGAGGGTGGAGGAAGTGGAGGTGGAGTTCAGAAATCTTCTGGAAGAAGAACCGATAACACTAGAAGAAGATGGGGAAGGAGGAAGATGGCATTGCCAAGAGTCACCCCCAGGCTCTGTTTCCTGGAATGGGGAGGATTGGTGTAGAAACAAGTGCTCTGGGCTGGATTTGGTTGTGAGTATAGCAGACAGGATTCTGGATTGCGGGGAAGCCAAGTTTTGGTTTGTGGATTATTATTCTTTTTTATTTTTAGAGATGAGGTCTCACTCTATTGCCCAGACTGGTCTTGAACTTCTGGGCTTAAGTGATCCTCCCCCGCCTTGATCTCCCAAAGTGCTGGGATCACTGTTGTGCGCCACCATGTCCAGCTGGTTTGTGGATTTTTTTTTTTTTTTTTTTTTTTTTTGAGACGGAGTTTCGCTCTTGTTACCCAGGCTGGAGTGCAATGGCGCGATCTCGGCTCACCGCAACCTCCGCCTCCTGGGCTCAGGCAATTCTCCTGCCTCAGCCTCCTGAGTAGCTGGGATTACAGGCATGCGCCACCATGCCCAGCTAGTTTTTTGTATTTTTAGTAGAGACGCGGTTTCACCATGTTGACCAGGATGGTCTCGATCTCTCAACCTCGTGATCCACCCGCCTCGGC